ACCTTAACCTCTAGGCCATGAGAGCCCCTAGACATCGGTTTGATTCCTGATTGGTAAGCATTTTATGGCACACTGCAACACAATAAGGTCACATCAGTGCCGAAGATTATGGGTGTCACAAGAGAGCGACAAACACATACAAAAAAGGAGGAGAGGTAAAGACGATAAATAAGACCTGCGTGTTTGCGGACAATCGCGGGCCGGCCGATGCTATCGCTAGGCCCACCTGTATACATCAATGTGCGAAGTGCGAGGCCTGGCCGACTGCCAGCGCCCCCTTTTTCTCACGTCGGCTTTGTCAGCACTTTCGTTTTCGTGCCGACTGCCAACATCGGCGTTTCTGACATAATTGTCGGGACCTGAGTAGAAATATGAATACGAAAAAGGACGACGACCTAAATTATCTACTTTCAGTTTTATGCTAGAGCGGCCATTTTGAATTTCGTTTGTTGACTGTTCATGGGGATTCATTCTTGAGTCCGACTTGCTTGTTCTACTAGATCTAGATCTAGATTTATAGATCATAATAGACCTCGATGGAGGATTCATATTCCAATTCTATTGTGTCAAACCCTGTTAGTATTATAGGTTGTGCTGAAATATTAATGCTGGTAAAAAGCATTTCATCAGGTGCGTGAATTATTTATTTGAATCTTTTAGACTCAGCTGATTCCCTCTCTCTGTTCGAGTGTTCGGAATCAGATGCGGATTTTTCGTTCAAGGCCTCCTATTCCTATTCACTTGTTCTTCTAGATCTAGATTCTAGATTTATTTAGATTGCTAGGTCTAGATCTATATGGAGGATTCATATTCCAATTCTGTTGTGTTATTGTATCAAACTCTATTATATTATAGCAAAGTAGATCTAGTAGGCCATATTATGCTCCTTTTTGTTTTGGAGGGGGGGTTTTTTGTTGGGGGGTTTTTTCTTACATTTTGGACTTGTGCTGACCTTTTTACATGAGGGCCGTTGCAGGTTCTTTTTTGGGGTAGGGTTAGGGTTAGGTCTCTTCTTTATATTGTGTTTGTTGGGGTGGTCGCTCGTTACTCGGAAGTCCTTCCTTTTATGACACCTACAAAAGCTCCTTGGGGGTGCGCAATATTTTCAGACAATCTGGTTGAGGCTCACTTGCAGGTCTACGATAGATGTTTGATAGAAAAGAAGGAGTAGACCACCCTGAAGCACCCATCAATCACCCACATGTTGTTGTAATTCTTTTAAACGTGTAGATTTGTCTCCAAAAAATTTCAGGACAAACTAAGAATTGTTTTTCACTTTACTCGGTTGCTTTGCATTTTTGGGTTTAGGACAAAGGTTCGTGAGTCACCCTTTTATGAGATGTACAGTGCAAGAAGGGAAATTTGAAAAGTTCTGGGATTGAACTTTCAAGAATCACACTGAATTTTAAGTTCATTTGTGAAGAAATTTTGATTGGAGCAGCTTGTGGGGACAGACTTGGATAGCTGTTTGTCCAACCTAGGACAGTTTTGGGTTTTTGTTTTATTTATTCTTGTCATTTCATAAATTGTGGGGGTGACTATCCACCAGTTGTAAGGGCACTCTAAAGGTGCTGGGCCAAAGAAAACCCAACTATTCTATGTAAAGTACCCAGTGGGCAGAAAAATGTTGGTTTCTTAGATTTCATTATTTTGACTAACGCCTGGTATCACTGTGATGCCACACATATATAATTTATTTTTTCAGGCTGCTTCGGCAAGGAAACGAAAACGGAGCAAGCCAGAGGAGGGGCAAACGGATGAGGCCGGAGGGAAAAAGTCCAAATCTGAACAGGAAGAAGGAGAAGGTGAGAAGTTCTGGAAGTTTTCTTATCTCTTCCTGCCAGGTCGTTTAGCTCAACGTTTGATGTAAATCGAGTTATACGTGTACATCGTACACCTTTGTAATGCTAATTGCAACCGTAAATTGATTGCACTAAGTTTCATGCTTTTAGAAATAAATCAGTAACAAGACAAACCATCGTAGTTTTGTCTACTGTGTGTAAAAACCCTCAATTTCTTTGTCTCTCTGTCACCTCGACGTGATTAGGGACTTTCTATGAGAGTGCAACCAGCATTTGTAATTTAATGCTAAGGCTCTTTGCAAAGGCACTCGAAAGACATCAGGGATTTTTTGTTGGGTTGGGGGGTGGGGGGGGTAAGTGTTTACAGCACTCGTAACTACATACGGTCATATGAGGGCTGGGGACACATTCAACTTTTTCAGTTGGTAGGCCCATGTTAAGAACGTTGCATTGGCTTCCCGTGTCAGCTAGAATGTCATATAAAATTGCAATATTATGTCATAAATGTGTCAATAACAAAGCTCCCTCATATCTTAGTGATCTCATCCAGATTTATATTCCATCTAGATCACTAAGATCAGGTGATCAGTATCTTTTAAGAGTTCCTAGAAAAGGGTGTAAAAAATTAGCTGAAAGATCGTTCGCCCACCTTGCTCCGTCAGTTTGGAACTCTCTTCCCCAACCCTTGAGACATACAACATCTGAGTCTAAATTTAAGAAATCTTTAAAGACACATTTAATGACATCCTTTTTATGTCAGTAGTTTCATGTTCAATACAATGTTATGTAAATGACTATGTATCCATTTATGTATTTTGTGAATTGCATTGTGTATATTATTTTATGCTCATTTCGTGACGATGTGTAAGCGTGTGCGTGTGATAAGCAAGTAGATGTGTGTGTGTAAGTGCGTGTATGTGTGTGTGTGTGTGTGTTTTGCATACATGTGTGTGCACAAGTGTGCGTGTTATGTGTTCATGAGTGTGTTTGTGTGTGTGTATATGAGTGTGTGTATTGTGCGTGTGTGTAGCGTGCGTGAATATTGTTTGTACATGCATTTATGTAAAGCGCCTAGAACTGTGTTTACACGGGAGTGGGCGCTGTAGAAATGATCTTCATTATTATTATTATCATTATTAAATTTTGAATTTTGACGCGGTGCCGGCCGAAGCCTACTCTTATCGATTTTAGACCACCAAGAGATCTTAAACGTACGCAACTTGCACACAGGCCCTCCGAGATTTTTCGCCCTTGTCCTAGAAGGCTAGGTGTAGATCTTTCCTACCAGAAGATAAGAGGTGTGGCTGAAAGACAGCAGTAAGAAGGAGCCAATGAGAAGCAGTAGAAATGCTGCAAAAAGAGTCGTGAGCGCAGAGGAGGTAGCAAAGGAGAGTGGGAGCAGAAAAAGGAGACGAAAGCAGGCGGCAGAACATTGCAAGTGAACAAGAAAGGAGGTGAAAGGAGACAATATTAGAGAAGAACATTTTTTTCTATCACTACCAGGATTCGAACTCGGGACCTTTGAATGAGAGGCCAACACCTTAACCTCTAGGCCATGAGAGCCCCTAGACATCGGTTTGATTCCTGATTGGGAAAGTCTACTTTACCTATCAAGTGTCTCCCTTTTTTTTTACCACAAGGATATTGTTTTCCACCCTGTTCGGGGTGGCTCATACAGGAAATTGTATGATTTCAAATAGTGTTAATGGAGGCCTAGGACAGACAAATACGATCAGTCATGTGCTATCAACCATGTACAATCGTGTGTGAGTGTAACAACATGTGACCCAAATGTTGTTGTCTTCACAGCATGACTTGATGGCCCACTTTTTCTTTAGAACGGCTGTTTCTTTAATATGTATTACATCAGTCTCAACTTTTGGTAGCGCAGAACTTAATAAACAGGGTGTCTTCAATTTCACAGTTCCTCTCTTCCACCAGTCTCATTTGCTGTAACTACATTTCATCGGCCCTTCTTATCCAAATTGTTTCATGACTTTTTACCCTATGGACAAGACAGGGTGGCCAGGGAAGTCAGAAATTTTTGTTTTGTTCAGATAAGTCGGGAAAAAAAAATTTCCAACGGAAATGGTTGGATCAGCGTCGCCAATAAATGGAAATTTGAGGAAATCTGTAAGTTGCCTCGGGAAAGACCCAGGAAAATACATAAAAGTTCTAAAATATTTGAAAACCAAATCCGATAATGTCCCTAAGATAAAAACTGAACTTGATAGCAAATTTTAGCATTAGCATATTTAGAATTTTGATTGCAACAAACACGAGTGTTCTGCATAGTGCGTGTTCATGCAGGCCTTGTGTGGAATCGGGATCCCTCATACCTTGTAAGCCGTGTTGTTGAACTGAAGGGTTGGCGTGTCATTGGATGGGTGCTTGTCGAGGCGAGCTAGTAAGCTCGGTGATATTTATAGAGAGAGAGGGATATAATATATATATATATACTAAGTTGGTTAGTGAAAGTGACAGCATCTAGATTCTTTATCTATGACCATGGAAAAACTCAGCAAGATAGTCTTCAAGCAGAAGATTGACGGCACTTGGCATACTGAAACCCAGGCTAGAAACAGACTTATTTTTCCTATGATTTTTGTGACTATATGTGTGGACTATATTTAGAGAGAGATCTAGACTATATCCAGTATCATAGGAAAATGTTACTTCATCAACACTGAGTGGTTGTCCAACCCTAAGTGTTCAGAATGATTGATGGAGTATCCAAATGATAAAGGCAAGTTTAGATGTAAGTTTTGTTCCCAAGTGTATGTCATCGGTCATTCAGGTGTAAAGGCTTTAAACACTCACATGGTACCTCTAAAAGACATAAAAGCCCAAACCAGCCAGTGTGGTGCCAAATCTATTTTAGCTTTGGCAAGAACAGAACAAGTGTTGTGAGCAATACTGAAAGGAAGGACCAACAGTAATATAATAGTGAACAACTGGAGCAGTTGTTGACACGAGTTTTCTCATTCATGAGATGTTTTCAGACTTTAAAATAGCTGAGTTTTCAGTGTAGTCGCACAAAACTTGACTACCTTGGAACATTTGAGATCACAGCGGTGATCAAGTCGGCTATCCTAAGATGTGTACAAAATAACCCCTTCTATGCGATTCTCTTTGACGAGAGCCTTAACATTGACAATGGCAAGAAACAACCTGACCTATAGTGGTGGGATTTTTTTTGGTCTGGTAGGATTTTTAGGAGGAAGATTTCCTTGGCCACCCTGCAAGAGTTGGGTCTTGGTTTTTGCTCAGACATTGTTAGAAGAATTTGATTTTTGGAAGCGCTTTTTACATCAGTGAGGTCTCTATGTTTTGGTTTTTTAAATTCTCCTTTAAGTTTCAGCTTTCAGTATGTAAATATCTGTATTTTGTTTTTCATTTTGAGTTAAGTAAAAACTGATATGGAGTAGAAAAATGGGGACTGAGCTTGAAGTTCGAGGAACGCATACTTTCAAGTTACGAGTGCTCAAGTGTGCTGTTCTCCCATGCATATTATTGTAGAATTCGATTGTCAGATTAGATTTGTTTGGAAATTTATTTTTTTCAATGGTTTGTGTATGTCCCCAGTTGACAATGAGAATTCTGAGGAAAAAGAAGAAGGAGACACTCAGCCGCTCTCTCCAGATGCGACACCCGAGAGCACCAAGACTGCCCTGAACAAGTCATCATCCACCATCTCACTGAGCCGAGCCTTTGGAACTCCGATTCTGGTATTTGTTTAATGTTCTGAATTGCTGTATGTGTCAGTTGAAAAGTCCTACTATATAGGCTTTGGCCGCCACGCAGGCAAAATTCAAAATTAATTCCTGTCAAACTGAAACTGCTTAACTCTTTGCAGTCACACAGCCAACAGTACAAAATGCCCCATCTGGTCACCCAGCCATGAGAGTGGCTGCAACAAACTTCTTGGGCCTGGCACAGAACCGCGTCAGTGACGGGAACGGATAATTTTCACCGTCGCATTATTGCGGCAAGTGACCCCAAAGTGTTAATGTGTCCTGCGCACTCATATGATTTTATGCAGTTGCGAACGCCGCTAAATACGTTCTCAAAAAAAGCCTTAATCTACTTCGCTCTTCCCAGACCTGCTAACTACTGAATTTTACAAGCCATGTGCACAGCCAATGGTGTAACCAAACCACGCTGACTGCATGTAATAGACCACAGTGTGCTGTGGCTTAGTACATTTGATCAGTATAGAAAAATGACTGCAAAATATGCTGAACCACACATCCTTGGCAGGTGCTCTATTGCGGTTTGCTCCTTCTTTCCTATCAAACACCTATCCTGCTTATCTCCCTTCCTTCTTTTTTGTATTTGTTACTCTGTTGTAACACCTTTACCAATTGGCACTTGTTTGACCTTATTGTGTTGCTAGTGCCATAAAACTCTTACAAAAAAATTTTTTTTTTCATTGCCACAGATCTCATTATTTCGCATTATTTAAAAAGTTTTATTTACAATTGTTTTTTTGTCCTGGTTTTGAAGTGTTGGGGCAGTTTTGTAAAGAATGACAAAAAATATTCTTTCTGAACTTGCACATTTCAACACACTCTCTCTCTCTCTCTCTCTCTCTCTCTCTCTCTCTCTCTCTCTCTCTCTCTTTCTCTCTCTCTCTCTCTCCCTCTCCCTCTCCCTCTCTCTCTCTCTCTCTCCCTCTCTCTCCCTCTCCCTCTCTCCAAAAGGTGGGTACCTCCCAATGTAGCACAGAGGGTTGATGATAAACTTCTTAATATTTCGTTCTTACTTGAATTTTTCTATTCATCTAATCTATATCTCCTCCTACAAAAACATGTATTTACAGACCTACAGACGGCATGCTAAGCGGTGTTACTGGCGTTACGTTACGTCAAGTCAAATTCTTTCAGACATAACTATGGTGACACATTTTTTTAGAATTTGTACATACAAAATTATTCAGTTGTCTTATTGCTTTAATATTCAAACATAAGCATGAAAGGTTTATAAAATGGTTAGGATCACAGAACAAGAAATTCTGAATGCTTTTGTGTTTGCATTTGTGTCATCATAGTTATATCCGAAAGAAATTATAAAGTATTTGGGCAGGCAACGATTCAGAAGATTCAGTTTGACTCACAATGCATGTTAATGATGAAAAAATGCCACTTTATTCACATTTTACTCTGAATCTCTGCAAAATATCAAATATCTTTCTAACATAACCGTGATGACACAGAATGAAAAATACCCAGAAAAATAATTTTTGGAACATAAAGTTAATTTAATAGTTTTCTCATTGCTTTAATTTTCAAACATAAGCATGAAGAGCATATAAAATCACAGGGAAAAAAAATTCTGAATCTCTTTGTGTTCACATTTGTGTCATCATAGTTATATCCGAAAGAAATTAAAAACTTTTCAGTTTCATATTTTAATTCATTTTTTGGAAATTTTGGCAAACAGAGATTCAGGAGATTCAGTTTGACTAACAAAGCATGCTAATTGTGAAAAAAATGCCACTTAATTCACATTTTACTATGACTTATCAAAATACCAAATATCTTTTGAACATGGCGCACAGTGGATAAATGTTTGTCGTTAATTTGGAACACATCATTAATTTACATCAAATTTTCCCCTCTCGTTGGCATCTAGCCAAGCACGCGTGGTTACATCTAGATCTACCACTACTTGACCATTGGAACGCAGTGCGATGTTAATTATTGCTTGTATTAAATTTTCAAACATAACATGTTAAGATTTGATGACGACATAAGAAAACATAAATGGATTTGTCTCATCCATCGTTATAACAAATGATGACAGAGCACGAGCCGTCGCAGGATTTCCTTTTTCTGCAAAATAACGTACAATCACAGCCTAGGAATCAGTCAGGGCAGAGGGTAAACGTTGAACGATATTATGCTCATTCCAGGGCTCCAAAATGTCCAATCGAAACGAAGTCTCAGGGAATCGAAGTTGGCTTTCAAAATGACTATGCTCAAAAATGAAAATTCAGAAGGCTCACAAAAAAAAAAAAACCAGCTACAGATATCATTATTCCTGATTTAGCACCGCTAATAATGTAGTTATGGTAGTAAAAGTAAAGGACGAGTTTCACAGCAATTATTTCATTGTTGAACTTAATGACAGAAAAAGTACGAATTTGGCGCATCACGTTTTGCATTCTGAAAAATACATCGATTTCAGAACTAAAAATATTTGCAAGATTTCTTCTGATGGCCCGACTGCTATTTCTCTGCTCCCATAGCTGAAACATCATATTGAGCACATGTACATTATAAATGATATATATATATAATTATATATGTGTGTTTGTGTGTATACTTCATAATTAATCTACCGTGTTGTGGGCCTGCTATTTATGTTTGATTAAAATTTCTTGTGCCAATGAAATCATTCTTACCTGTGTCTGTGGTGAATCAAATAGTTCAGGTAGGCATTTTGCTGTCACAGGCAGATTTGAATTTGATTCCCATGAAGAAAGAACTTTTATTGAGTATTTTGGTCTTCTGGTGGGACTTTGTGCCTGTCTTAGCCTGGGTGGCCCTGAAATTATGTTGATAGGGGTAAAAAAAATACATTCATTAATACAAAATAAAGATAAAAGTTCTTGTCTTGTTGTAGGTAGCTGGCAGGTGCTCTGGTTGGGTTTGCTCCTTCTTTCCTTTCAGGCATCTATCATCGTTATGTCTCCTCCTTTTTTGTGTTTGTTACACTTTTGTAACATCTCTAATCTCTAATCTCCGGTACTTTTTGATTTGCAAGTGAGGTAAAACTCTTACTAAAACAAAACTTCTTTTTAAAGGTACGAGAGAAGAGCAGTCTCCCTGATGCAACCAAATTTGGAGTTGGAATCGAGGACCATATAAACTTTGAGAACCTTCCGGATTCCACCGGCACGTTTGAGAAGATGAGGAATCTGATTAGCATCATTCGAGACAAGATCAAGAAATAGATAAATCTGCAAAATGGATGAAGTGGCTGTGTTCTGTAGTGTTCATATCTTCCATTCCCCTGCTGCGTCGTCTCTTCTCTCTCTAGGAATGCATCCAGAGATGTTGCCATCAGGTGTATGTTGTTAGGTTTGTTTTATCAATTGTGAAGCGCGCTGACAAAATGAGTACTCATATGATTCAAGCCCTATGGAAATAGATACGTCACGCTTATAGGAGAAGTTTTTACAATCTATAAGTAGGAAATTATGATAGGCATGTTATACTTTAAGAATATTGCATCAATAGAAAATCTACAAATTTGACCTCAGTGTCGATTTTTGGCCAATGTCTCCATTTGTGGATCGCGAGAAGCAACTCATTTTGTCAGCACGCCTCACATTTGGTCATTTGTAGGAGTAAAAGCAGAGGTGCCGAATTTCAGGATAAATCTGGAAATCCGGATTTCTAACAAATTTTCCCGATTTGTGCTGTACTGAAATCTTGGTGCAAGATGTATTAGAAAAGAATGTTCTGTAAATTTGGAGTCATTGCACATGCGTTTTTTTGAGGTCCGAAAAGCTCAGGCTTTTTTTTTTCATAGCGTTTTGGCACATTTGATTGGAATGTTTTTCTTCCCTCTGAAATTGTGTTGGGTTTTTTGTTTGTTTGTGTTTTGTTTGTTTTTTCAAATGTGAGATTACTGATTTGCTGAACTGTACATGATTTTGTACTGTTTGTGAACAGGTGTATTTTTTATCCAGTAACAATGAATAATGTAATAAATGCAATTGTTCCAACATCCTGTCAATGAAAGTGTGTTGTGAGAATTTTAAGATTTGCTCATTGTGAACAGAATGCTTGAATCCAGAAACCTCATCGATGACCAAGTGTGTGGAACATGCTACACGTGCTGCAAATTGCCTCCGTATGAAAAACTATTGGTGGGCAACTTGCGTGTATGTGTGAGAGTCGTCCTTGCCAAATTTGATCACGTATTTTATTCTTTTAGAAGGGGGGGTTCGTTCTTTTTGTTTTACTGGTCTCAGAAAAGGGTAGGATGAACTAGTTGTTGTGCACTGGATTATTTTATTGGAATAATTTAAGTTGTTTCCCTTTGTCATGCAAGTTAATCGTGTAAACAGAGGAATGGAGTGTGTCGCTAATTTTGTTTGGAAGCGAAATGAAAGAAAATGCTACTTCTAGAAAATGTGTTATTGTATCTGCTGCTAAGTCGGTGTGAATGAGTAATTTTACAAGTTTTAAAAGTCTTGACTGCAGTGGGTGTATGCAAATCTCTCATTGCTCTTTTTGATGGATTCAGTCATTCTTTTTTTTTTTCTTTCCCCCATTGGTTCAGCTCTCACCCAGAATGACCGTAAATCTCCTGGCCATAAATATTCATTAATATGACTAATATAACATGTACAGGTTTCTGGTTTCCATTAAGGATTCTTAACCGTTTTAACTGAATTTTAATAACTCAAATGAATTTTTGCAGATGAACTGTAAAGTGTTTTCTTTACAACACAATCGCCTGAAAGCATCCAGCTCAGGTTAATCCTAAGTTTTTTAAACTCTCTCCCAGCTCCCATTGTAGTTTGTAGCTCCTTTTGTCTATTTTGTCTGCTATAGTGAGTTTGGAGAATGAAGACCATCTTGCCTGAGAAAGCCAGAGCATTGTGTACCCATGTTTTTATATATATGGTCGCTTTTAAGCACAAGGGGGCTATCCAAAAAATGCTGTTTTGAGAAAATCGAAGGTAAAGTTTTTGCCCCTTGTTCAGTTTCTTTACAAGACAAGAGTTTTCTCTATTACCGAACAAATATGGGAGTGCTTATTTAGGCCACATATGGCCCAAATAAGGTAAGGGAGGGGGGTTTAGCTTATTTGGGCCACAGTGGACTGTGGCCTAAATAAGGTAAGGGAGGGGGGTTTATCTTATTTAGGCCACACATGCTCAAACTACCCTTTTCGGGCAACTGAGTTCGTTCCACTTTCATAATGGAGCACCTTTCTCATTTAGTACGGTTTTGTCTCAGTGTACAACTTATAAATCATAATCATACTGAATATTGTAAGAACAAAGCACAATACGCAAAATTTTGCTCAATCCCAATGGTTTGAATGAGGGCCAGATTTTTCCTTCATGGGGGGGCAAAAGCTAGGCTACCATTTTGGCACTCTTTGGTTAAGTGAAAAGGTCAAATCCTCCGAATGGACTTCCGGGTTAAATTTGGGGTATAAAAAGTGTGTACACTACGTGGCTGAGTCAAAGTTACACTATCTTAGCCTGAGTGACACTCTCTCGTACTGTCTCGTAGTAGTACATATGTAGGCTAGTAGGCCTAGTAGTAGTAGTAGCAAAAGATCGTGTAGAGAATATTTGGTAGTATATTCTATCTAGTAGGCAGTTTAGTGAACGTGCTCGTGGCTGGGCGAATCGGCCTCGATAAGCCCCGTAGACTTTTGTGATCGGCCACGAAGCCTCGTGTTTTGATGGGTCTAGATCTAGATCTAAACAACTCAGTGTTATTCGCACTGCCACATCCGACAGGCCTAGATCTACATCTTTTTAAAAAGAAAAGAAAGATCATCAAAATGGTTGAATTCGCGTGAAAATCGATTTGGTAGAACTAGAACTATTAAAATTTGCTTGTGAAAAAAAGGCAATTGTTAAATACGAAGGCTATTTTTATAACTCGATGAAATAAAAACCACTGGCTTTGTACTGTGTTATTCTGTATAAAAATAAATTATGAAACTTCAGGACGTATTATTATTTTCCAGCATCTTTTGACGCCTGAGTTGTAGAGGTATAAGTTTTCACAACACTAATAGATCTAGTAATAGGGCTTTCCGTAAAAAAATGCATAGATCTACGAAAGCCGAACCACCGAATCGACCGGGCACCTCGCTCTCCCCTGCACACTGTGGTTTATATAACGTGTTGCTTCGGTATCGCATTATCCAACTATTAATATGTGCGGCTATGGCAGTTGGGATGTTCTGATTTTTAAAAAATTCAGTTTTGTTTTTATTTTACCATATATTTGACTTTAATAGTGCAGGCAATAGCAAGATCTAGATTCCCTGTCTAGAATCAGTAGTAGCAGGCCTATGCTAGAAGCAGCCAGAGAGCCTACAACTGCTAGATCTAGATCTAACTTATTATTGCTATGCCTTTGGGCTTTGGAATTGAAATAAAACGAATTGCACAGTTCTAGTTACTTTTAGATTCAGCAAGTAACTGCATTTCCAGAGTCAATAATAACAAATCTCAGCATAACAATCACTTTTACTTTTATTAGAATAATTAGATCCAACTTTTTTTTCTAAAATCTCTTTTGCGCAAACTTAAGATTTTCTCTACTTGTAGAGCACAGAATTTACATTGTAAGCCTCTGCTCAGCCTTTTAGTATACATAATAAAATACACACACACACACACACACACACACACACACACATATATATATATATATAGAGAGAGAGAGAGAGAGAGAGAGAGCGAGAGAGAGATCTATATAATCATTTTATGTTATTTTTGGGATACTTTTAAAACTCTTTTTTTCAACATGTCATAAAATCAAATTGTGCCGTTTTCTTTGAAAAGAATAGCATTAGCAGTGGACTTTTTAGACAGCTAGTCTCTGATTCAATATTTTTAAAAAATATGCTAATCAGTGAAAATTGCAAATTAATAATAGCTTAGTCCTGTAGAGGATCCGGGGTCTGCAGAGCGAAATACTAGGTTTTAGGATGTGAACCCAGGAGTCACCGTAATGAAATAAGGTTTGGTTTAAGTAAGGATTGGTGGACCCCGGGGGTCAACGTAGTGATAAATAAGCAGGTTTAAGGTGGACCCCGGGCCCCGGAGTCTACCTAGCGAAATACTAGGTTTTAGGACAGGCGGACCCCGGGGTCAGCGTAGTGAAATAAGTAGGGTTCATTTTAAAAGGATTGGTGGACCCCGGAGTCACCATAGCCGTAGAGGAATAAGAAGGTTTAATTAAGCCCAGGGACACCTTGATTAAACCTACTTATTTTACTACGGTGACCGCAGATTCTACCTATTCTAAAAACCTAACTAGTATTTCGTTAGGTAGACCCTGGGGTCCACCTTAAACCTACCTATTTCACTACGTTGACTCCAGGGTCCACCAATCCTTAAAATTAAACCTAGATCTACATGTACTTATTTCACTACATTGACCCCAGGGTCCACCAATCCTTAATTAAACTTAGATCTACTGATTTCACTACGTTGACCCCGGGGTCCACCAATCCTTAATTAAACCTATATCTACTTATAATTTCACTACGCTGACCACGGGCTCCGCCAGTCCTACTATAAAATAAACTGAGATCTACTTATTTCACTACGTTGACCCCGGGTCCACCGATCCTTAGTTAAACCTAGATCTACTACTTTTTTCACTATGCTGACTCCGGGGTTCACATCCTAAAACCTAGCATTTTGTTAGGTAGACCCCGGGGTCCACCTATCCTTTTGGCTAGATAGACCCCGTAGTCCGCCTATCCACTTTCTTGATAATAACTGAAAACAATACATGCCAGTTGTCATGAATAGTGAAGAAAAATGAGGGGAAAAAAGACAATGAGGTAGACTATAATTTGTCAAAAAAATTGCAAGTGCAAGTGAAGATCATAAAATAATTTTATTATTTTCTGGTCATCTTTCCCGGTTTATAAAAAATTCCAGTGGGCCTACTACTAGATCTATGTCTCTGAAGAACATTTTGCTTGCCTTTATTAGCTTTTTTCATGTACATGAAAGCATAGAATATATAGTTTCACACAAATATATGCACAATACTTTGAAAAAGAAAGATAAGGTCATTGTTGTGTGGGGTTTTTTTTTTTTACAGAATCCGTTTTACGTTGAGAAAAGCGCTAAAAACAATAAACTACTACCTAGTTGGCTTACTCTTTAATAACCATGAGCAGTTAAGAAAAAAAAGAGAATGATATAGGATTTGTCTAAATATGATCATTAGCAATAAAGAGATTGCCCATTTTGTCCAATTATCCTTGCAGGTAAAATCACCCTGCACTGTACCCCAATAAGCACAAAAGGAATATTTCTGTGACTTTGTATAAAGGTGTGGCCTAAATAAGGTAAGGGAGGGGGGTTTAGCTTATTTAGGCCATATGTGGCCTAAATAAGGTCACCCAACAAATATACTCACCAATGAAACCAAACTTCTCCTATAGTCTATAGGTAGGGCAATGCCCACTTTTGGTGTTGGTCAAGATTTCTGGAAACACGTGTGGGTTGGTCTGCTTGTCCTTAGAAGTGACCATATATATGCAGAGGGGGAACTTGTCTGTGTGCGTTATATCGTTTTGAATCTGCTGTGAAAGATTTTGTACAGTTCTGATGGCAGCCTCAGGATTACCTGAAAACACTTACACAATTATGCTCATGTTTTACGTCATCATACGAAGTCACTGATTAATTTGTTCGTCATAAGTTAACATGATGCTGTCATTTTGTGCCTGTCTTACTTCACCCCTTCCTGTTGTCGCTCTCCCTCTCTCCCTCTCTCCCTCTCTCTCTTTCCTCTCTCTCTCTCTCTCTCTCTCTTTCCTCTCTCTCTCTTTCCTCTCTCTCTCTCTCTCCCTCTCTCTCTCTTTCTCTCTCCTCTCTCTCTCTCTCCTCTCTCTCTCTCTCTCTCCCTCTCTCTCTCTCTCTCTCTCTCTCTCTCTCTCTCTCTCTCTCTCTCTCTCCCTCTTTCTCTCTCGCTCTCTCTCTCTCTCTCTCTCTCTCTCTCTCCCTCTCCCTCTCCCTCTCTCTCCCTCTCCTACGCCCTCCCCCTCCAATGTTACCTGGTCAGTGTCTTGATGTTCATTGCTTTTAATGCTGAAATGGTTTAGTAAATAAAATATTGAAACATGTACCAAACTCCAAACAGATTTCATCTTTTTTGTATATTATATGTGGAGCTGCTGTACCGTCATGTGATCCATATTTTATAACCAAGTGACCCTTTCTGTGTGAGTCGTTGGAGGGTTCCGCTGGTGAGTCCTACTTCTTGTCTCTCCCTCTTTTGGCTTCTGTCCGTCTATCTTACTTTTACCTGCTCTAATCTAAATGACCATTATTTTGTCTATGTGCCTCTATTTCCTTAAATGAACATTTTTCTAAGAGCCTTCGGGGGATAGCTTAGCTTGTGTTTGATCCATTCCATTACCAATTTTCATCCTCTGTTGCAGAAGCATCAAGGGGAGATTCAGTTTCCCAAAAGGGGGATAATAACATGTTCTTATGCACAGTAGAATTGTAAATGGTCTGATTCATCAATGTCATGCTCATAACTGCCTAAAGGGGAACAGTTGCTTTTTCTTTCCTCATCCTTATTATCATCATTTTTTCTCTAGATCTACTTCTTTTGTATGTTGGTCACTCTCTTGTGAACTGCTATTTCCGGGGTGCCTTGATAGTCAAAGCAAAAGTAGATTTTGTGCTGTTGAGGCTAGAGAGGTGAGCAGAGTAAGCTTGATTACCCGTTTGGACTTCTCTGTTGACATTCACCCCTTGGCACTCTTTATATGACTTTATGTAATTGTGAGCGCAGTAAAACAAAACAAAACAAAACAAAAGGAGATTCAGTTTTCTATGGTAGTTGTAGTAGACCAACTCTGCAGCTCTTCCAATTGGGATGTTGTAGCTTCTCGGAGTTTTTGTGACGCTCTCAATCTGTCTTCTGCATGGCCTACCTCTTTCTTTGTAGCCTGAGTACATGCTGTTATGGGCTCTTGAGGCTGGCTGACTAGGTGACATTCGTAACAGGAGGCAGAACCATTTAATTCTTTGGGCTTTTTATACATAACCTACAGGTATCATTCGAGAAAAGATCAGGAAATGGATCTGAAAACAGATGAAGTGGCTGTGTTGTCGTGTAGCAGATGGTCTTACGTAGTCATTTCTCTGCCTCTCTTTTCTTATGAATTATGATGGTTAGAATGCAGAGACATTTCATTTCTCTTGCAGTAACTTTGCTTTCTCTGGTCAGATCTGGCATTGGTAGCATAACGTTGGTATAAATATTGAAATGAAAGGCTGTCTCTTTGTGTCCAAAGGGATATTTGGATGAGATAGAAGGGGTGTGAGCTGATAGGTAACGGTGTTGTAGTTTTGAGTTTGTATTTCTATTTCTCGACCTATGGATTTTGATTGCTTCCTTGGTTTTATTGCTGCATGCATAGCAATCAATCTGAGAGACAGGGAAATTTATTTTTTTTGCAGCATTTGCCCAAAAAAAATTGGATGGTATTTTATGCCAAGGGAGAAGCGGAGTAACCCTCCACTCACAAGAGTCAAGTTTAGTTAGTTGTGGGCTCAACAAAATATGTCTTAAGTCTTAAACAGGAAATTCAAATAGGGTATAATGAACGTGGACAATACACTGAGATGTCTCTACTTTAACTTTAGCTTAATGCTGTGGAGTGTGCTTAAACCAAACACTTTAAACCCGAACACAGCAGTAAACCGAAGGAAAATAAAGAGCCACCTCTCTAAGCTAAGCCGAAAACCCCTGCTAAACAAGAAAATCCTGTGCTGTTGTCCCACAAGGTTCAGTTTAAGCGGACTCCACATATGTAAATTAGCTATTGTACAAGCATTAATTCGGGGGTTTTGCTTGTAAGAGCATAATTTGGCAAATCAGTATCTAATGTCTGCTAATACTAATGTCATTTGCACAAAACAAAAAACAAAAACTGTGGGTGGTTGGAGGGTGTTATGGTGTGGTTTGTTCTTTCTTTTCTATCAAACATCTATTGTCCTGGTATCTCCTCCTGATCTCTCCTTCGTTTTTGTGTTTGTTACTCTCTTGTAACACCTCTAATTTTCGGCAGTTATATAACCTTATTGGGTTGTAAGTGCCGTAAAAATCTTACTGAAACTTATTTTTAAAAACTGGAGAGTAAAGTTAGCTTAAATTATCACTCCAGAATGCAGTTTAATTTTGTTTTGGTTTTGGTTTTTTTAAGATGAAGCAGAAACGTTTATCCAGCTGCCACTTTCGTGCAAATTCCTTCAAATTGTTCCAGATGTCAACACAGAGCAAAAATGTGCGTACATGAACGTGAAATGAGATACATCGTGTCATGCTACACCAACTCCGCTGTTCATCCTCCACGGCAAGTGGATGAAATTATAAACAGTACTCAATGATTCACCATTTTCAGCAACGCAATATAAACATGTAATATACATGTAGCATTATACCAGCATATCTCTCTCTCTCTCTCTCTCTCTCTCTCTCTCTCTCTCTCTCTCTCTCTCT